TAGTATGTCCTACCCAGACTGATCAGTACACTACAAGTACGAAAGGCAACTATTGTGCTGGATGTTGTCTGCGTAATGTTCAAATTAAATAAAGCATGTGCTCTTCCTAGTGTCGATCCACATTTCATGATTCATTGCGAGAACAATGTAATAGGCGCAAGAAGTCCAAAAACCGATAAAGCTGGTGGATTTTGCCAAGATGCAATCTACTATGGCCACACAATTTGATCAACATAAGAAAACACAAAATCATGCTCGATGCATATCCCCATTATAATACCCAATAGGCCAATACAAAGGAAGTAAAAACCATTTCTTGTCTTGCTGCTGCTAGAGAAGCATGCCCAAGCTTGAAGCAAAGCTACAAGGAAAAAGGAGACAGATGGATAGGTCTTGGTGTCTATTAAAGAAAACATGACTCCCATATGAGAGAAATGGAAACTAGATTACAATCGGCACCACTACAAAGGCATGTATGTGGAAACACCTAAGATGTACTCTAGAAATCCTCTCTGTGTACCATCGAGAGTGGCTTGCAATGCCTTTGGTCTACAAAAAAAAATCAGAGTGGCTTGCATACGGACAAATATTCAAGAGGGAGTAGAGTTCTAATGGCTTATATGATATGTCACTTTGACTACAACCATAATTCACGTACTGTTTCTCGGTTCTCTCTAACAGATATCACCTTACAATATTGACTTTTAGGTATTGTCAACCACAATCCAAGCACCAAAGTATTTTTGCACAGATCTCGAACTTCTATGAAATGACAATGCGATATTATAAGTGGATAGTGATTCCAAACACAAGTATAAGATTTAAGACCATAATGGAAATAATAAACTTTGAATAAGCGAGTTACCTTCAAGTATCTCCAACTGGAATCAGGCCATAGTGGGTCTAGATTTTCACAACCAACAATCATACCAGTAAACCTACGAGACAAGATAATAATACATCACAAATAATCATTTAAGAGTAACTACAAATAGTGAGCAGCTACAATTGGGGACCGAGTGACATGAAGCCACCATGAATAATTTGCTCATCACACACAGAACACAATAAAGATATTTTTTTTTTTCTATAGGATGATTACAAAACCTTTCTATGCTAACACAATCACATAACACAATAAACATTTTTTCTATAGAAGGAAAGATTACAAAATCTTTCTATGCTAACACAATCACAGATCACAATAAACAAAATATATTACAATTGTAGACACAAGGGACATGGAAGAAAAATTCAAGACTAAATATGTCCTTGGATTTGCAAAGGAGAGAAAGAAAATACAACTGATCAAGTATAAAAGGCGAGCAATAATGGCTACTGATACCCCAAGGATTGTCACTAATTTACTCAAATACCTACAAATGGAAAACTAATTATCAAACAAAAGTAGTTGCGAGAAAAAGCTAGCTACACTACATGATACTTGATAATTACTCTTGAAGCTTAGAAGAGATATGACATGTAAAATTGGTGCAATAACAATGGCAACGATAAAAAATGGTGTGCCTGGCACAAATCACACACCAATTTATGCAATAACAATGACAAGGACAAATTCCATATGCTCGTAACTACAATTGCAACGCTCAATACTTGCAATTTATATTATTGTTAATTGCAAATAATTAACTTAATATTTATTTGTTTTCATGAGCAGGGGGCATCAAAATGGACAAAGCAATATACTGTACATGGGCCAATGACTTACAATGATTTATATAGGCCAATGGCTTACTTGAAATGTATGAATGAATTTACAGAATCAGTATATTGGCCAAATGACTTACAATGACCAGAGTATATGCACTCACAAATGCTTTAAATGTAAGCCTAAAAGTAGTCATCTCATAGATCCAAAGAGCTAGCAGGGAGTTTAGCCAATATGATGTAGACACCTAATATTGAGAAGAATAGAAAATTGATGTGTATAGTCTTACCATGGGACCATATGAAATGTTAGTAAAAGTTCAGGGGCACATGTAACATGGAGTTGCCACAACATTCGTAAGTGTCAAAAAATTGCTGCAACTCATGGGATAACAAATGATGGCTCTTTGTATACTGGGAACCTAAAATAAAATAGATCGTAAGCCCTTATTAATTGCCATCGTTAAAATTACACTAGAGGGCAACAAAGCCAACAACCAAATAGTAAGTAGGTTAAGAAGTTAAAAGCAAAACCATTAAGCACCGAATACTAGACTGAGAAGAAAGACCTAGTGGGGTACTTGGGAAAGATCTCAAGCTTAAGCTTATTTCTTTACAGAAAATTTTAGATCTTATGCAATTAATACTTCCAAAACTGTACTTAGGCAAGTTCAAGTTGACCTCACGCGCCTGCAGTGTATGGTGTTATTTATGCACAATATAAACCCATATTATGGTCCGTATGTCCTTAAAGGCGTGAGCGGATGCGCTCTATAATCTTGGACCCAATAAAGAAGGACGGACCCGACAACCACAACAACAAAGCACAAATCTTGATGCCTATCGGAGTATCGAGATAGACGGCGTGTCGATGAAGAAGGCTGATTTCAAAGCATGATGCATAGGAAAAGTGTAAACTAATTTATAGAAGATGTGATATAAGAGTTCTTGTGGAGATGCTCAAAGCATTAACTAACAAAGTGAAGAACACTAGACATTCCACTCCATTGCATTTGGTTTTTTGCTTGCACTGCATACTGGAAGACTAATTTTCTCTATATTCGTTAACAACATTGAAACCTTAATCCATTAATCATTGTGAAGTACAAACTATCAAATGATGAAGAAACTACATTGGTGAACTAAAATCTACAGATTACACCATCACCTTCACCACCATTGAAAAAGAAAAGGACAAATCATCATTTAATCATTGTCTCAACTATAACCCGATAACTGAAGCTTGTACTAAAGTAGAAAAGGGACAAAGCATCATTTTAATTTAAGTAATAAGCTTACAACGTTGGTGCAAAGACAACAGAGAAGGGGTCCCAACCATTCTCACCACCATTTGAAATTTTAGGGAAGTGATGATATCAGTTTGGGAAAAAAAACATTCATACAGGACACAACCAACATATATAAAGTTTTTTTTAAAAAAGCTTCACGGCGTGCTTTGCTAGCCGCATAGCAAAGTGAACACTGACAATTATCTCATACTCATACCGCAATGGTTCAAACAAGATAGAAACAACAAACAATAAAGCTGCAAGTGGCACTCCTGACTTTAGAGTTTAAATTTAAAACTGAACAACCACATATAAAGGGGGAATTTTAGCCTCGACCCGAATCATTTGTGCCAGTTGCAAGTGAAAATAGTTTAGGCATGGAAATCTGTCCATATTTCATCAAACAACTAATGTACCAAACAATAAATAAAATAGTAGACAAGTTGAACCATACAAGTACAAGAGCTGATGCTCACATGACTAAAGCTTACAACGGCTAATTAAGTGTGATACCTAACTCACTGATTTGCACAGGAACATAGCTATCAGTTGATGAAAACAATTGCATGCTCAAAACATCAGAAAAGAAAAGAAGTGCATCCACACTACCACCCTTGATAGGATATTGGCTCCACACACACATGCTATAGTAGCATTTATATGAAGAAAGTTGCCTACACACGACACCAAACAAATAGACAGTAACTACAGGATAATGACAGATCCGCCAAGGTTCCAATTAGTTGTGTCTACGGCTCTCTGTTGAATTGAATCAATAAATTATTAAGATTAGGCAAAAGCCATCGGATGAAAAATCCCTTGTGCACATGAGGGATATATTGACCGAACAGATTTGCAACTAGCTAGAGCGCATAACAATTCATCAAACCAAACCCTAACCTTATACAACCTTATACATTTCCACGAGGAGCCCAACCTTCTGGCAAAAAATCTCCATCCCCTGTTCCCTCCTCAAGATATGGTTTCAACCAATTGATGACCAAATCAACACGTAATCACGAAATCGGATCGAGTACAAACACAAACAACAAGTGATACAACAACGAGGGACAAGGAGGAAGGAGATGCAACTGGTACCTGCTGATGGAATTGCTGGGACGGACGACCGTCGCCATTGGGAATGGCATGGCATGCTATCTGATCGCTTGCCACACGCCTTGCTGCCATCGACGCAGCTTGATCGCCAGCGGCGTGCTGCTCCTCCGCCGCCTCCTCCGGGGGCAGGTTTAGTCTTGAAGGGAGGAGAAGGGGATGCTCCACCACCACCACACTGGTGCTCCACGCGAGGTGGGAGGGTGCTATGGAGCCGGATGAGATGGAGGAGCGGGATCTGGGATGGGAGAGAGTGGGAGGCAGAGAGACACAGAGGAAGAGAGCAGGAGGATCGGGGCGTAAATAGAAACTTTGGTGTAGGGCGGTGGCAATTTTGCGGTGCATTCTCGGACCCAATAAGAACAGCGGACCCAATAGCTGCCGAACACAGCCAAGACCGATACATGAGACTGATGTTGAAGTCCATCCATAATCATTGAACACAACCATAGATTTCAGTCAGCTGAGGAATAGGAAAAGTGTAATATATATTCAGTTTTGTATATTAATCACAATAATATTTTTATATGATAAAGGAACTGATTTCTTGAAAATTTCATTTTTATTCATCCTTTATATTTTTCTTATGAGTACGCTCACGTATGCTACTCAAAAATAAAGGAAAAGAACATCACGTTCCGTACAACAGAGTAAGCTACATTCCTCCCTTGGGAAGGACAGCAGCACAGCTCGCAGTCGCAGCTGCTTGCGCATTATATACACAGTTCGCGCAACGGCGCAAGCGCGCCACGCAAACGGGGCCACACAGGGACGATCGAATAAGCACGAATCGTTCCCTCCGGTAGCTACTGGGTCTTCGCTGGTTGGTGCTGGTGCTGATGTTGGTTTAAGCTGGCTGGTGTTGGTTTTTTGTGAGAGGAAAACATTGTTCACTGGCTGATTTGGACTAGCTAAAACCAATAAACATAGCTAGAAATCGTCGAGGCCGAAAGACTCCGATGACGAGGCGCTCAACGAGGGCGGCACGATCACAGACGAGGACACCTTGAACGATCCCTCCTCGGCGCACAGCAGCTCCGCGGTGTCGACGACGTCGTCCACGCACCAAACCTCTCCACCTCCAGGCACCGACGATGGCAGTGGCAGCGCCTCGGTCTGCCTCGGCACCACGAAGCTCGGCTGCACGGCGTGCTTCACCTGCTGCACCACGGCCTCGGGCTCGGCCTGCTGCTGCGCCTGCGCCTGCGCCGCCACCGCAACCGGCTGCTGGCGGTGCCGGAACACGGCGGCGAGCGCGAACTGGTCGCCCACCCCCGCGCACGCCGTGGCCCTGCCCGCGGCGGCCGCCCGCACCATCACGTGCTGCAGGTTCTTACTTAACCGGGCCCTGGCCGCGCCCGCCGGGCCACCGTGTCCGTGCCGGCCGGCGCGGTCCGCGAAGTTGGTGCGCGTGTTCTCCCCGCGCAGCGCGCGGGCCGCCTCGTCGTAGGCGCGCGCCGCTTCGTCGGCCGTGTCGAACGTGCCGAGCCACAGGCGGACGCGCTGCGCCGAGTCCTTGATCTCCGCGACCCACCGCCCGGACGGCCGCTGCCGGACGCCGACGAAGCGGCGCCCGCGGGACGCTGCTGTCGCCGCGGTGGCACTAGCTGTCCTGCCGCTGTCCTGTGCCGCCGCCATGAACGCGCGTCCTTGTTGAATATTTATCGAGTTGGATTGGAGCTAGCTCGACCTCCTGGCTCCTGCTGCTTAGGTAGATGTGTAGCTAGCTTGACCAAGTTCACACTCACCTACTATCTTTCCTAGTACTGTGTATATATATATACACTGCTGCAGTGCAGAACAGCATGCGCCGATCGAAGTCCATCAAAGAGTGGGAAGGCATCTGCAACTGAGCTAAATCTGCTTCGATCCCTTTGTCGTTTCGTATCCGCATAACGCCTTGCGACGAGCTATTTAGCTCCTGGTCGGACTGGCGTGACATGGACGTGCTCCTGGCTCTCGGATTAACTAGTTAACCGTGTGCAATTATGGGCCATTTGGATGCCAACAGAATGTTGTTTAGCGGCTCTCAAATCGCGTTGTTTAACGCCCGCATGATTGCCCACTCGTGTTCTGGGGATTGTTTTAGCGCCCCACTTGCAGAGCTCGACGAAGTGAAGCTTCGTCGTCTCGCAGAGTTAGATGCTCCGGGAGAACTAACAGCTCGTTCGTTTCGGCTGAAACGACGTGAATTATTACCGCTGGCTGGTTTGGTGCGAGAAAAATACTGTTTTTAGTTTATAATCCACGATCGTTTACGATCAAACAAACATGCCGTAAACATCTACTAGGCCGTTCTGTGTCATATCATATCGTCCGATAAAGAGTGATCCGTTGGCTAGGAGCTGTCGTCATCCTCAGAATTCCTACGTGGTGGTTGTCATCTGCTGCTTGCTGTCCAGCTGCCAAGTGTGCGGTGAGCCTGCTGGGCTGCTGGCAATCGCACCCGTCGACATGGCAAACATATCATCGATATCATTATCGCTGCCGGAGTAAAAAAAAACATCCCTTACCAATTGTGGTGAGATCATGGAGAATATAGTGAATCATGCCGACTAATGGTCGTCTAATATATGTATCGCTGAGCTACGAGGATACACGGTATAATCCCATCTTATCTTATTATTACTAATTAGAGGTTCATACTCACTGGACACGCTAGAAAAATTATAATTTTTCATAATAATTTGAAACATCTAGCATTTAGTTTGGTGGACTCTAATCATCGTCATCAATAATAGCGGGATCTAATCTGTTTTACTAAAAGAACTTTATAAAAAATCTTATGTTACTATTACTAATTAGAGACTCGAACAGATCCTTTACGTTAAGGGCAAGTTTGGATCATGACTAGAATAATTAGGATTATAGATTTAAAATCAAAGTGTTTGGGCCTCTGGATTATGGCAATTGATTATGATCGGTTAAAGCGAGAAATTTCTATATTATTTTTTCTAGTTTGACAAGTTAGACAATCGGTTGGGAGGCAAGTTTGACTTTTAGCACCCATAATAATCCCCTGTAACCTAGTATCACCCAGATTATGAGATTATGGCAATGAAGAGTGTTGATTATAATAATTCATCATATAATCAATCTTGTTTGGATAAGAGTTTGATTGTATGAGGAGGTTGTCTCTGACATTGTGCCGCTGGTAGCGACCTTCCTCAGGTTAAGGTTCATGTGTATGGCTGCACTTTCGAACTTTCCATCTGCGAGATGTTGCTCCCATGGGGAAATATCTATCTCTGCCTGTCCAATGCGATTTGTGAACTTTGTGCGCTCAGGGCTTCAGGCTACCAGTCAAAAAACATTATTTGTGAGGAAACATGCAAGCTGTTGGAGCAAAGGCACAACACACTCTTGGCTCCTTCTACATGGTTGAATGCAAAAGACGGGGATTTTCCTCTGTTTTTAATTCATATGATAATGCTTCCCAGGGTAGCATCTATACTTCCATTTTTCTTGTGCCTTGACAGGAAGTGGAGCAAAACTGTCTACCACAGGCTGCTTGCCATTGGACATTTGACTCCGATGGCGGGCCAGAAGGATGGCTACAAGATCAGCATGCATCGGATTGGTGGCTGAGTTGGCTGCTGCTCTCGGAGCCGCAGCATCCAATATACGTATTTTGTTGACTGAATATTAGCTTTCATCTAGAATATACTAGTGAAGGGAACGCGCCATCGCGTGCCTAGGTAGGTGCAACAGTATGAGTAACACGGTATGTAAATATATATCCAAGATATGCATATTACATATGTTGTTCAAGGCTGCAAAGAGTCATGAATGATATATAGTACAAAGCGCACACGCGGCTCGTGCATGTGAACAGAGTGTGTGATATAGTAGGTGCATGCATAGTTTTGGAGGTAGCTGTATACAGATGCCAAAAGGACACAGACAGGTCGAAGTTCTTGGCTGAGGAACGACCACACCAAATTTGTATCTAAGTATGGGCAGGCATCCATAGTTCCGGAGCTAGGTACCTAATATACAGATGTCAAAAGCCTATGGCCAAAGTAGTTCTTTGCTCACGAACAGCTGTTATATGTATGTTGGAGATCGTGTCGAAACAGGAAAGTCTTCTACGCAGTTTTCATAACTCTGGCATTGATGCAAAATGCTGAGGTGGTGTTGTGCTCCTGCATATAAAGCAGTATAGAAAGCTATTAGGGGTTGTTTTAGTGTAGTACAGAGCTGTTATGTTCTTTGATAGAAAAAGAAATTTGAGGGACAATAAATCGTGCAGCGGGCGAGGGTTAACAGACTATAGCCCATGCGCACGTGGTTTAACAGAGTATAGTTACTACAGATAGAAAAGATATGTTTGATTCATAGAATCCAAATTAAATTAAGAGTGGTAGACAGATATATACACACTGCAAAAGGTTAAGAGCAGTTCGTTGTAATGAGAAAGCGAATCTTTGATGTAAAAAGGTATACTCTTGGCTTTGTGAGCACTTTGATAATTGACTATATGTGAGCATGGTTGCAGCATATCCTTCAGTTTGATGGCATGGTCCTGTCGGCAGTGAAGGTGTCGAGGTCCAAACCTAGTAGAGTAATTTAGAGGTTTATAAATAGGAGGAAATGCTATTTATTTTTCAGCGCACTTTTGATCACCGTGGAAGCCCCTTGGACATAACCTGATGCTAATATTTTTCCTTCAAAATTTAGGTGACTTGTTCATGTTTAGCTCAGGAACACTTTGGTGGGCTTTCTTAATAATAGTATCAGGAATAAGTTTTCATACATGATTATGGAACCTTTAACTCAGGTATCTGGCGTAACAGCACATGAAACTTGAAAGAATTAAGTTTTAAATTATGGAGGGGGGGGGGACCATAGTATAAGGTGTGCTGCTTACCATTTGCTTGGTACGGTACAAACCTGCCCGTGCTGCCAATGATAAAAATATAAATGCCCAAACAATCCTATGATCAAGTAAAGTAAAGCAATCAGTTCAAGGTGTTTACCTAAAAATAGATGGGCTTAACAACAACATCAATAACTCAATAATGTAATCGTAGTTCTAAACTGAAGAAAATCTGTGCAACTATATTGGTGGACGACAATTTATATATTTGTTGCATGTAGTGCAAAAGTATTTAGTCGACCAAGTACTATAGGTATTACTTTTGTTCCTACATTTTTTCCAAATTCCAATCCTAACCTCGGATTGTTTATATTATTGCTTGTATTTTCAGTTCCTTACTTATGACTAAAATTTAATAAGCGACTCCAAAATCTAAGGCGTAATGAAAAATTATGTAAAGAAAGAATAAAATGGTAACTACAATATCTATTGTGGCCTGGAAGAATATGTGCAAAGGAGGAGGAAAATATGGACTAATGTTTCAGAGATCTGAAAGTTTATATCAAACGCTTGGTCATCAGATCACTATGGGGAATCATATTGGATTAATCACCCGTCAGGTAGGTGAGGTTCAGCAAGAACAAAGATTCGGTCACACATAGTACCTGTTTGTATTGAGGACTATGGCACAATGAAAGCCGAGCACTCAGCCCATCAATCTAACTCCCTTGCAGTATTCGGATGGCTTTGTCAGCGCATGACCTGAAAGTATATTGAGATCGAATAGTTATTTAAAGAGCTTCAACCATATATGAATCTGCTGTTAAATTGGACAAAAATGCATGTACAACCAAGGATATGAATGTTATCAACCGATCAAAGGGAAGTGACACAAGGGTACCTTGCCAGTTGATTGTTGGAGCAATGTGGACCAATAAAAATGTGTTATACACTACACTATCTTTTTTATTCCACAGCGAGTAATTGTTTTTTCATCTAGAATGAGAGGTTTTTTAGTAATCTGCACATTCTAAACGTGAAGCCTCATCACAGTCTATTCTTATCAATGCACAAGGCACAAAGCACCTTTCAGAAAAGTACTAACCAAGAGGCACAAGACAAACTTACCAATACAAAACTGGAGAGAACCAGTAACCTTTCATTTAGGATTTTTATTCCGCCACTGAAAACCCAATATCCGGAGAGAACCACCTTTCATTTAGGATTTTTATTCCACCACTGGGAAACCCTCCACTATCATCTTGGTTTTCAAAAGACAACCCCCAAAGAACAAAAGAAGTGATTGATCAACAGACTAATTTGAACACAGTAATAGAAACTCTGAACTGTAGCTACAAAAGCTAACCCTTACATGTATTGGCAGCATCTTGGTTAGCAGAGGAAGTGCTGTAGTACTCATTTTTCTTCAATCTGCATAGCACAGGCACATCAATTAATTAGTTGAACTGTCAAAAACTAAGTAATAAAATACAAGAAAATGAGACAGATTCAATGCACATTTGTGCAATGGCACACTATCCAACTTTTCATTTCATTTTGAATTAAAATTGGGGCCTCAAATATTATCGGCTTGCCATACTGTATCCCTAACCAGAATCTTGTAGTGTCAAAGTAAGCAAACACATATTGCTACATCAGCTCATGCCTAGAAATTCTAGCTGCTTAGTAGGAATGTTTTGTGTGTTTTTTAATTAGGGATTCCATACTGATCAATGGTAATGTACCCAGGTTAAGTATCATTAGTTCTGATGTAACACAACAAAGGGCTATTTTGACATCTCTTACATAGAATACATCAAGCCTGCAACCTCTCCAATTTAGCCTTCTGAACAACAACCTAAATTGTCTTCCATGGTAATGAGGCATCCTTATAAGCAGGAAACAGGACTTTCGTATTGGTCGGCAAAGGAAAAAATAGAGATATGCACCGTAAAGAAGGAACAGAGCAGAAGAATTCCTTGTTGAATTAAGCAGCATAGAATTGAGTTTTAGCTTTCATTTTCGAAGGGTTAATATATGTCACAGAGAAATGCCACTGAAGCTTTATTTGCAGCGATCCATCAAATGTTTCAAATAGTTGTAATTATAGCTAGCTGGTTGAAAGCAATTTTATGCAGGAAGGTGCGAACATATGCAGAGTGAAATAAAATGATCAGAACACAAAAAAGGTGCAGGTAGTGACTGCCTGAATTTGTGCAAACAGCGTGTGAGAAGTCTTCTTTGTTACTTTCATGTTGAATTGAAGACGCAAAAGATTCATAAGGAATACTGAAGCACAAATCATAAATGCTGAAACACACATCAGGAAGAAAATAATTGGGAAAATAAGGGTTGCGTTTATTTACCTTTCTTTGCTTGCATGTCCTTGTTGTTTTTACTTGCCTTGTCACTACAGACTAGAGATGTCTGCAAGAGTAGGTTTCGCTTAACACCACGCAGGTGAGGGAGGCAAAAAAATACCTAATAAATAATGAGCATCAACAAATAATGGTGCTGATTTATGTGTTGTTTTCCAGGTGCCCAAGAACAGAAAGCTCGTTGAAATCACAAATGACAGGATAAAAAGGGGTCAATACTATGAGTTAACAATAAAAGGCACCTTAACAGCAAACATGACATGGTAAATATTAGCACTACCCAGATTCACCTCTCACAATATGCAGCAGGCATAAGTATATTTGTAAGCAAATTCACTATGGCAGTATACAGCCTAACAGAGGTATGGATCACTAACTACGTTTGATGCGTTAGAAAAATTGTTTGCCAATAAATTTTTACCTTATATACTTTGAATATGAGCTTTAGAAATATTTGAGCAAAGTTTCATAATCATATAGCCATTTGATCAGCAGATGCCAACAAATCAACGAAACCATGGAATATTATCCTCATATCCCGGCTGTTATTGAGGAATAGAACTGGGTTCGAGGTTCACCCATCTTTGAGCAACCTTTTTAACTAATAATACTACGTGAGTTTATGAACAACAGAAGGAGCCCACACCTAAAATGATGATCAGCAGGACCATCATAAGCATAAGCCCAGCAGCATTAGAAATGAGAAAATAGAAGATGAGTAAGAGGGAGCCTCGGAAATAAAGAAAATGGCATCATTTGATCTCTTGCAGTTTAGTAACCACAGCATGTAGTTGAAAACACCATCCTTTACAAATAATTACGAATTTCAAAGTTGTCATCTGAACCATGAAAACATCATGTAAATATATGTGGGAACGGAAAGAACCATAGGAAGATAATAAGAAAAGGATCTGAAAAATAAGGGAATCAAGAGACAGCCTCAATAAATCTCAAAATTGTGGTTTGTATCCAGAACATAATCAGAGAAATCCTGAAATGTTTCCTACATCACAAAGTTCAACATGGCACTACACATATTAAGAGATACTTCAGTTCAAACCATTTTAATTCGGTGGTGGTGGCTGAATACCTTACGCAATATACATTAATTTTGCAGCTTTTGGATATGAAGTTCTTCAGGGTCTTACTTCTTTATCAATATAATATGTAGCTTTCCCACATGTTCACTTAAAAAAAAAGTGGAGCATTGAAAATATGGACAGTCCCAAATTCCTAACTGAAACCTGATATTTCAAAGCTCCAATCACTTATATTCAGTAACTTATATAATGCATATACGATGAAAACCAAGAAAAAAATGACCGGAGCATCGGTAGAAGAAATGTAAGCATACCATTTCAGGTTGAGCTATGAGCTTCAAAGTTCCAGCAGCTGACAAACCTTTAAGAAGCATGCATCCTGCACTTTCGTCATCACTCATTAGTGCCATAATATTTGGTACAAAACCTGTCATCACCAAATCCAAACGTAAAAAATCAGAATTCATCACCACATCGTACTCCACACACCAAATCCAAATGTCCAAATCAGAATTACCACAGCCATCTCCTCTCCCAACCCCAACCATCACCAAATTTCGAAATCATGAGTCACCACAGGCAGCAGCCCACTCCACATACCAAATCGAACAAACACGACACAGCAGGTCGACAAAAGGCAGCAGAGCCGCAGAGGGCCAAAGGAGTAGGCAGGAGCCCACAGCTACACAGGGGAAGGCGCGCAGGAAATTATTTGGAAATGCGAATAAGGAACTGTGTAAACTGGCCAGCAAGGAAATTCCTGAGGAATGGGGAAAAAATCAAGTTGCAATTCAGTAACGCAAGCTGGCAGCCTAAAAGTACAAAACAACCGACTAAGATAAGGTAGGTGGCTAAAATGTAGAGATCTTTTGGGACTACGCTCTAACACATCGACTCTATCTGACACAAGCTAACTGATATAGAGGGGATGGAACTCAGCCATGGAAATATTACAAAAATGGGTTATGGCATATATAAACTGAGATTAAGACATATTTGCCTGCAGATTTATATTATTTCATTTTAAGTATAAATAGCTTCTCAAACTGTGCTTCTTTCCCTTTTCCAGGGAATTCGGAAGGGGGAGAGGAGGGAAGGGAGAGCAGCAGTTACCAGGAGAAAATTTGTTTGAAAGAAAATTAAACAGGGGAAATAGAATGGTTGGAAAAAAAGAGAAGAAGCTATTAACCTGAACATAATATGACCTGAGATATGATAAACATGGAATGGGATAATAACACAAGGTTGATACCTCAGGCGCTGCAAGATTACTATGAATTGTTTCTATACGCAATATTTCCATAATGCTATCAGAGTATATTTTCTCACAAATCGCTCATAAATCGATGCACTTAGCACAAATCACGAAAAAGGAATCTGAGACAAGAAAAGCTAAAATGCATAAATAATAATAGACCAAGGAAACATACCAAAACAGAGAGGATACTCATGGCATAACGAAGACGAAGAAAGAGAAGCCTCACATCCAGTATTACACAGAGATCTGGTGAGGGGATGAACGGATCCAGCAGCAAGGTGGGATGGACAGATCTGGTAAATGGGATGGAAAATAGAACAATTAGGCACACTTGAATTCAAAGTGTCAAACCAAACACATGAAATATGCATATCTATCAAAACGAATTAAGTATTTCGAGTGACTGGATTTAATAGGGCATCACCATCTTGCTGCTGGGGCACCTTGCTCTCTCTCATGTTATCCATTTTCTTGTACCAGTTGGGACCTGCTCTGCTTGCTAAGATGTTGATATCCTCTTAGATTGGAGCCTATTTGTCTCCAAACCTCAAGGATTTGTCCACTGTTTTCCATAGCACCTGAAACCATATTTCAGATCCAAATATATTAGTTAGAAACCTGCTAATTACAATCCAATACCACAGGAGGTGCATACAAATGGCAGCTAGTTAAATTTACGGCAAAACAAATTAGTTGATTGCATGTGCAACGGCCTTGAATTGAAATAGTGACCATAAAGAGCATTAAAACAAACTGGCAAATTTGTTAAGGCAGGACTCTCCTTGACTTACATGAACGAACTTGCACACAACGCCTAATTTTTCAGAACATGATACAGGGGTACCTTACTCAACTCTTGTGAAATGCTGGAAAATAAATTATGTTCACAGGGACACAGGCACATCATGAATTATTTAAATATTTGCCACATCCACCAAAATTAGGTTGGCTTGGAAAGGACAAGGGCAAAACAACACAAACAATAAATTAAGAAAGCAAAGGGAGATATGATATGGAGGCGAATGCGTACCAGTCTAATAACTGCAGAGTGTAAGTTCTTTGTTCAATTCATGATTAGTGCCCTTCTTTACTATAGTGTGTTGAGCTCCTGTGAAATGGTAAAAATAACTTTAATAGCAGTCTAATAACTGCAGAGTGTAAGTTTTTTGTTCAAATCATGATTAGTGCCCTTCTTTACTATAGTGTGTTGAGGTCCTGTGAAATGGTAAAAATAACTTTAATTAGCAGGCACACGAGCAAATAAATCACAGAATTCTAAACAGCGAAAATTAAAGTGAAAATAAATATTAGTGGATTGGTTGAGCTGGAACCGAACTTGGCAGATCTCTTGGTAAGAGAAAAACTAACAGAAAATCAAGAACTTGAAGGAAATATAAGCAGACAGACAAGGAGAAAGAAGAAGAGGAGGCTTACCAGGATGGATGGAGCTGGCTATGGAGACACCGGTGGTCATGGAGGCACCGGATCCGGCTGTGGAGTCGTTGGAGCAGCCGCCAGTGAGCAGCCCATGGTGCAGCCGTGCAGGTAGAGAAGAGAGGGCGCCTGCGTCCGCCGCGGGGGCGTGCCCACGGCTGTAGCCGCTGCGCCGGGTTGCGGCCGCGCGTGGGGGCGACCTCGCCTAGGCGCCACGCCGCCGCATCACCACGCCGGGGGCTGCCGCGCTGGGGTGGCCTCGCCTGGGCGCCGCGCCGCCGCGCAAGGCGCCTGCCCTAGCTGCCGTCGCCGCGAGAAAGGAGGGAGAGGGAGGAGGCTGGCCGGTACGCCGCCACGCAGGGAGAGAGGGAGAGGAAGGGGAGGCACGGGCGGGGGCGGCGGCGTGGTGCGGGAGGCTGAGTCGTCGGGCACGGGAAGAGTCGAGAAGATGAGAGAGCGAGGAGGAGAGAGAGAGAGAGGGGAGAGAAGCTGGATGGAGAAGCGGAAGCTGCGATATATATTTGCTTCTCTGGATTCGGAAGAGAAGCGGGGAAGCAGAGGAGAAGCGGAAGAAGCCAAGCAGAAGCGCAAGAAGCCGTTTTCGACAGAATCCGCTCCAAACGATATGGGCCGCACGATGCAAGATCTAACGGACGAAATTACTTGGAGCGACATGGACCCTGCTTCTCCTACTGGAAGCAGGCGGCCTATTTAGGGGAGAACCAGTGGATAGCGCGCCCCCTGCGCGTGAGAGTAAACGATCCCAGTTTACCTCATGGTGGTGACAATAATATGTAATATTAAAGCACGATAGTCTCAGCCCGTTCGGCTGGCCAGCTCCTCTCACGCGGGCACTGTTCACGTAAACAGTGTTTTCAGTCAGAAACAGTATTTTTCTCTCACACAAATCAGTCAGTAGTACTTTTTCACGAATAAACCAACAGTTCTGAACAGGCTCTTGATAGATTCAAGTACACTGCAGGAAGCAATAATTATATATACAGAATATTACATGTTGTACCAGGTTTGCTACATGGGAAGTCTAAAAGCGTTACAGAGCGCTAGGTAGTACTATTATACAAGATTATAGGATGTGGAGTCTAGGCTCTGTGAGATGCAGTGTACAAAAGCATCTCAGAATGTTGAGCCGAAATGTTATACAAGGTTAGGAGCCAGTCGGCTTCGGCCTTTGTTGGGCTTCGACATAGATGCAAGGATGATCAGAACTTCCAGCTGCGGTCGGATTCCCAGCCATGTTCATCGTCGTTCAAGACGTCCAGCGACGAAAATCCTGCAGTAGGTATATTTCGGACTGACCCATATCAAGTTGCAGCAATGAATATCATTTGGGTCCCTACTTTTGTGGTTCGAACAGTACAGCAACCAAATGCCATGAATCCTATGTAGGCTGACCCATATGAAGTTGCAGCACTGAATATCATTTGGATCCCTACTTTGGAGAGAAGAGATGGAAAAGGAATATTGAAAAAGCAAGTATAGGTACATTGTATTACCTGATACATTTAAAAAGCAACAATTGACAGAAATAGGTCCATACACCCTGCCATTTTTAAAACAAAGAAACAAAGGTTAATCTCAAATATGAAGCAAAGAGGACTCATGGCTGCACTTTAAGTAAAAATTCAGTTGATCGAAACTATGAAGTAGCAGCCATAAATTTAACTGGAATTTAATGCGAAGAAAACAAACCATTCTGTGAACTAAAGCATGTAATCCCTACAAATTATAATTACCAGCTGCACCGGAACAACTACAAATTTGCAAAGGATTCAGTAAATCACAGGAGATAAATATGTGTGCATTCTTGTTAGGTTAGGTATATATTTTCCTTTTATGTAGACTTCAATTCATATCTGTATAGTTTTGTCCGCGTGGGGACCGAGAGGGAGAGGGAGAGGCCGACGAGTGAGGGAGCGAGGAAGCTGAGAGAAGAATCCGGAAGGAGAAGCGGAAGCTGAGTATATATTTGTCTCTCTGGATTCGCTGAGGAGAAGCTGGAGAAGCTGAGGAGAAGCAGTGGAGAAGAGAACGAGGAGAAGCTGCTGCGGACGAGAATCGGGTTCAAATAATCTGAGCTGCAGGATGTAAGATCCAATGGCAGAACGTATTGGAGGCGACATGGCCACTGGTTCCTTGGAGGAGCCCTACGGGCTATCTAGGGGAGAAAATTCTTGGCTGAGCTGCTGTTGTTTCAGAATATCTGGTTGGTGGACTGGTGGGCAGGTTGTTAAGGTATGCAGATATGATAAGCAGTAAAGCAATACTTGAGAAAGCCACTAATGTCTGATGTTATCGCTGATGTGTACATGCAGCTCGTGTTTAGGGAGGTGGCAGAATGGCAGTAATGGGACTGTATACTGGTAAGTCATCTGTTTAGTTTCTTTGCATAATCCATGATCTCCTAGCAATGAGGCGTTGTTATTCACAATTTAATTTAGCTAAGCATCAACAAATTTTAAATCAGAATCGATAGAGTTTGAAGCAACGATCCAGTGATTTATCTTTCTAGGGGTGAATATATTGATATGATGAGTTGTGAGAAATTTTATAGACTACTTCAACCTTCTATTATTTTCTACTATAAAGTATAAGTTTTTGAGGACTTAGATTTGGTACAAAAATAAATAAATAATTTTAGGATGTAAAAAGAAAGCATTGTTATAGGCTTGGTAATCTTAGGATTACCATCCTGTATTTGGAATGGTTTCTAACTCTTCTTCATCTTAATGAAAAATGTGCCTTAGCACGGCCACGAAAAAATAATAAGAAGTCATGATATATTTATGCAGTTCTTAGAGCTTTCACGGTTCGTCAAATTTCCCCTTGAATCTTCATTAATGCTCCATAATTACCATCCGGAATAGGGAAATTATTTATGCAGGCCACATGAAAATAGAGTTTTGGTCAGCATAGAGTATCGACTAAAGGAATGATTTGTGCATGGCAAAACTTAAGTATAACATCAGTGGCAGCGATCAGTGAAGCAAAGGTAACTAAGAAGTTACATTGAAGTTATATTATCATCTCCTTTATATTGTCTATTATTTACTTACAAATAATTGTTTCCGTAGGAGTCCATGATATCAATGTAGCCTTCCACGGGAAGCAGGGATTAACCTCTCTAGATTGAACGAAGATGAACAATGTAGTCATGGAGAAAAGAGTCTTCGTGTTTTGCTGTAACCTGATAGTGATTTTTGAGAATGTGTGTTGTGGCTTTTGCCCCTTATGAGTATGTGGTGATGTTTCTTTTAACTGAGTTATGTGTAATTGCCTTCTGCAGATGGACCATAAAATGTGACTTCGTAATGAAATAGAGAAATTTTGCTATGCTGTTATGTCACGTTAACTTGTTCCATTGTGGTTTTTTGTCACTTTGTGTTTTTACTTATGCACATGTAACTTGCTTTCTTAGGGCAATGTTTGACGGTTTGGGGCATTTTATATCTGTTGTACCATACAAAAATGAGAATTGTGTGCTGATGTTTGAGATTGTTGAAGCTTGGTCTAAACCCGAGGACAGCAAGAAAATATATATACTTTTGTTGTTTTATTTGTATTACCGGATATCGCCAGTAGCGTTAGTACCGACAATATACTAGTTATAATATAATCAATCTTGTTTGGATAAAAGTTTGACTAGATAATCTAATTATTATAATTGCAGTGGTATCAAGTAGGGCCTAATTTATCACCAAACGTGTTAGAAAAAATGATAAATATAGAAATGAAAAATCGTAGCGTTGGGGCCAACTTGGGCTTTGTTTCTCTTTTTGAGCGTTGTATCCACCGTTAGTGAGCCATAGTCTGATCCAAATCGCCCTTAACATGTTTTGGAAGTGGAGGAATTATGCTGGCCTAAGTAGGCCCAAAAACAACCCATATTCGGTTACGAGCTACTACTATGGGCCAATGGCAAAACACAGCTTGACGGTTACGGTTTTCCTTACTCCTACATCACTCAGACATGGCCGATACCATGACATTCCAGCCCAATAACTTTTCAAACTTGGGCTGGATCGTTGGCAAAGAACTCAGAAGGAAATCAGCGCCCCAACGAGCCTGAAGGCTGGAGCATCATCAAGTATCATCGTACTTCTGGGCAATGCTCTAATTGATCGTGAAGTGCGATAGGCCAGCGTGTGTCGCCACGTTGTGCAACGATTCAAGCGAGAAGCGACAATGAGTCAATGACACCACACGGTGGACTGTGCTTCGTCACGCTGACGGCTGACACGACCGGCGGCTGCCTAGCCCGCCTCCCATGGTGGCAAGAGTTCCATGAGGCCATGACCGTGCCGCAATGCGGCGGTCAGCATCGAGGCAGGAAGACGATCACTCTCCTCTATGTAATGCCTGACGCAGGTTCTTCTGCAGTGTCCCACGTCGTCACCGTTGACATCCAAACAGAGTCATCGCCGTTGACATCCAAATCCTACACGGTACATCTCTCCTGCAGCCGAGCAGAACCAAGGGTGCAACACAAGCCTGACCGAGAAAACTTTGACTTTTTTGCTGATAGTATTAATGAATTCCAACTTGCGAGGCTGGTGTCATCGAAAGGCGTGCGTTATTATAAGGCCACAAGTGAGAGTCAACTGATGAGAAGCCTCCCGCCCGTTCAATCCAAACAGGGGACGGGACGACGACCTCCCTGCTTCGTTGCCTCGTTGACAGTCTGAACAGTCTCATATGTCAGCACTGATGCAGCATAGAAAGGGAAACGGGACGTTAGGTACTAGAGTAGTACTGTATTGACGAAGTAAATTTTAAGGAAACAGTACGATACAATGGTTCGCTCGTGCCATGGCGATCAACGGAGTCAGCCCACTTGACGATACAATGATTCGTGCAGTGATATCACGACCATGGAGGCCGTTTGTTGTGCAATTTCTGAGCTAATAAGCCCGGCTGCTGCTGGTTTGTTGCGAGAGGAAAACACTGTTGACTGACTGATAAGCTCTGGCTAAAATCAACAAGCAAACATGCTGTAATTCCATTCACAGATGGTAAATGCGGAGTACTCCTAGCACTTACTGTAGATGGTCATGGTACCAGATTTATTTTTTGCTGCTCAGAGCAGAGCAGCACCTAGTCTCTCTGAAAGAATGGAAATCTAACTTACCGATAAGTCAAACAATCCTAAATTTGATTAAATATCTATAAAAAATATTAACATTTATGGTACGTAATAAGTATCGCTAGAATAATCATAAAATATATTTTCATAATAACCTGTTTAAGGAAGGTTGACACTATTTTCTTAAAACCTTATTAAATTTAAAATTATTTAGCTCCTAGAAGAACGAGGCTTTTACTTTTTTTTATTGGAGTGAATAATTCATTGCAAGTTGTAAACAAGCAGGGAGGGGGGACAAGTCATATCTCCATACAGGGGCGAGATTAAGCTATGCCAAAGAGGGCAGTGGCCCCTCCTTAATCTTCATACCTCCTATGAAATCACTTGAGTTTAATTTAGGGAGCAAAATTATTTAATAATAAAGAATAATTTACATAGGTTGGCCCCTCCTACATTTGTCGTCAAGCTCCACCACCGTCCGTCTCCACACGTTGCTTTCCTGAGACGGGCTGCGGTTCATTGTTGTAGCCTGTTCGGGAGGCCGTATCGTATCGTGGATTATTTACTGCTGGCTGATTTGGTGTGAGAGAAAAACACTGTTTCTGGCTGGAAATTTACGATCGTTTACGAGCAAGCGAACAGGCTGTCAAACGATATCAAAGCTTGCTTACTTTGAATAGCAATAAACAAATATATCACTATAATTGTAGCATATCCCCGTATAATGCTCGCTTGTTTCTGTCGCGTTTCTGCGTCCGGTACTGCAAGTTTTTTCCATGCATGCCTAGCGTTTCTAGGCAGGTATAAAGGCGAATGGAACTTGGTATGTGCCCACAGAATCACAGGTTGAGTGCAAGGCAGAGAAAAGGATAATTACAGAGGGAACTTGGTGCGCTGTAGTGGACAAGATAAGCGCCGGCCTATATGCCTAGTATATTGAATCAATCAGCAATCTGAACTCATTAAAAACCCCAACTCCGAGCGAAAGTGCATCTGATCGTTCAAAGAACCAGAAAAGAGCAGGAAAAGAGAATACGGCGGTAGTACTATGATACCTCTCCTGTGTGCAGCCCACTTGCAGCTTGATCCCATCAGATTAGCGCATTCGCTCTTAAAAAAAAGAGAGTATTGGTTTAGGTTTTGATGCTAAGTATCCGCCCTCGTTCCCGTCTTCCAGGACCGTCAGCATCAAGCTGCCCGCCTGCCCCTGAACAAAGATCCAACTGCGAACGGGAATGGCTATCCCTTCCGATATTTTAACCTAAGCAAGCAGCCAAGCACAAGCAGTCCAAAAGGCCGGGTAGAGGTAGAGATAGGATAGCCACGATCCGTGCCAAAAGCGCGTGTAAACGGAGCGGACGGATAAGCTCAGACCGGCGGTTGTGCTTGCGCACGCGACGTCACCATCGCAGCCGGCAAGTGGAGTGTGCGCTCCCCACCAACCACGAGGCATAGGCACGAGCGAAACACCAGCCGCGCAATCAAGCAACAGAGGCCACAGCTGGACTCGGTTGGCTTTGCATGCCTTGCGCGGGGTCCCGCCCCGCGCGACGGCCAGCGCGGGCGTGAGCGGACGCGCACCGCACGACGCGAGAGCCATCATCGCCTTCTCACGCGCCCGCGCACCGTACGACGCGAGCCATTAAACGACGCGACCTTTTCGCCGCGACGGCGACGGAGAGGGATGGGCGGGTGGGGATCCGTGGATGGGGCGAGCCACGAGCGACTGAGGGCTGGTTTAGTTTAGGAAAAAAAATTGGGTGCACCCCGGGCACACCGAGCTGCTCGTGCTCTCCCCATCCAGATACACGCCACGTGCACAGCTCCTTCATCGTACGGCAACGCGAAATAACCCTCCGACGGCAGCCAAACAACATGACGGCTCGGCTCATGGAACCTCATCGGCTCAGCTTGTTCGTTCCCATCCCAATTCCCAATCCTGGGGCGGCGCGGCCAGCCCATGGGCACGCTCCCCGGCGGCGTGGCCAGCACAAGGGCAGAGCTCCTCGGCGGCGCGGACAGCACAGGGGCGCTCTCCCTCGTGGTGCGGCCAGCTCAGGGGCGCTCTCCCGCAGATGCCGGCGTCGCCCGTACTCGCGGCCAGCGCTGCAAGCGACCTCGCCATCCGTCGTTGCCCGCCCGTACACGGCTGAGTCCTTCGTTCCTAGAGCGTGCTTGCCTTCCGCCTGCGACCTGACCGGCGCCTTCTGCGTGCGCAGATCCGTCGTCGCCGTCGCCTTCGCCTATTCCGGCGCTCTCTTGTCGCCTGAGCCTCTACCGGCTGAGGATATGGGTGTTCAGGTAAGCTGAAGAATCTGAATCTGAAATGGGCAGATTATACTTGATTGATTGATATGGGTGTCATTGTTTCAGCACAGCAGAGCATTCAGGATGTTCCCGTCGTTCTTGGCCGGGGAACCATTGTCCAAGTCCTGAAGGCTCCTGAGGTCATGTCTACCTGATGATGTCTACTAGCTACATGCTACAGTCTGAAAAAAATGTAAAAGATGGATGAGAAAGTGATGTGGGGAGCATTCGCAAGTAGAAAATAACTTGTTGATAGGCGTGCAGTTCATGTAGGTGCTGCAGCGTGATACATTTGACAAATGGTTGAAGAATTTATTTCTTAAAGACGTTTTGGCCGCTGTATTTGCAGCTTGGAGCAAGTCCATGGCTGGGACAAGAAGCCTGTGCACTGAATCGATGCATCAGGCTCTGAACAGCCACTCAAGCTGAAGTTCTCTCAAGCTGAAGTTCTCACTAGCTCAGATCGATTGTACTCATACAAAAAGTGGTCTGTGCGTCGATTTAGTACTAATATATCCCTAGGGCTTTGAATGTAGATGAATGTAGATGTTTGGATAGGACCGACAGATTGTCAACAATTGTATCAGTATATAGTTCATGGATACTTGTAAAATGTAAAATGTGATTTTTATCTGAAATATATTTGGATGTTTTGAAATCAGCAGTGGAATGGATGTCTTAATAATCTCATAGATTCTCTGAAATGCATTGTTGTAAACAGGCTCCTATTGAGAGCAAAGTGTGTAAGGCTCCTATCTCAGCAAAAGAGACTTCCTAACAGCAAAAGAGCAAAGTTACATAGATTTATTATTCTTGCACTCCATCAAAATGTAACTTCCTAACAGTTGTTTGCAGTGTAGCATCTTGATCAACTCCGATTAAGAGACCTGTGTATCCTCCTAGTATGTATGGAGCAGCCATTGCAGAAGGATCAGCAAGTAAACTGAACTGTGGCATTGTGGAAGTAGCATATCCAGCTTGCACGAAAGGAGCATCCATGGCTGAAGATGGCCCTTCTTCTACATCGTTATTTTCCGGATTTTCACCTACAATGAAGCATATATATGATAATACAATATGATAATACAATATTTAAAACAGTGGGCAGATCAGTACCTTTTTTCTGACCACCCTTCTTCTTCTTCCCTGTCTTCTTTTCAACAGCATTTTTAAAACGTGTATTCTTTGGTCCCTTTATTACTTCAGGAATTCTAAAAGATATTACTCCATTTAATGGTTGCTTGACATTTTCATTTGGAATTGGAGGAACCTCATTAGATTTTTCATGCATCTCACTTAGATAAGTATCTGCTTCCAGGTTCAAGTTATGTATGGCTTTCTGCAATTTATCAAGAAGTTCTTTTGACCGAGAACACTTCAATACAAGAGATGTGGCCTGTCGAGATATAAGTGATGCATGTGTTTTCAAATCTCTCATCTTAGTTACTTGTTTCTCAATATAAAATCCACTTTTGGCATAGTTGGTCCATCTAGGCAGGATATATTGCGATGGTAAATTGTATACTCCATTTGTATTGAAGACTCTAAGAGCATGCTTGCACAATAAACCTGTACGATGTATGGTAGTTTCCAATTTAAACAACCCATATTACAGCTTACAATGTATAAATTGAAATGTAAATAGTATACATACCTATGGATTCAAACCTCCGACAAGAGCATCTAATGGTGGAATCTTCAGTGTTCAATACTATTGTTGCTCCACGGTCAGACTGCATATACTTAACAAAGAATGTTTTGTTTGTCCCTGCAGCTTCCAGGAAATCACAAGACAATGTAAACTGCCTCTTAAATTCTTCCTCAAACTCCGAATATATTCTCCTAGTATATGAATCAGATGCAGTAATCAACATAGGCAGATTTGGACTGTATGTAACTGGGCTCTTTCGGCGTGACTGAAAATCAGCATCCAACTCATTTGCACGGAGACTAACCGCAACCTTCTCACATTCTACAAGGAGTTCCGAAAGACCAAGTCTCCTCTGAAATCGCTTTCTTGAAAACATTATTCATACCTTCACTCCCTCGGGTCGAGTTCATGTCTATTGGAAAAAGAGTCACGATATACTGCAGCCCATTTTGCCCTCAAATCATACAGGTTTGCCATCCAAGAGTTATTCCCAAGATTGTATTTAGCCAACAATTCATGCCATTTCTCTATGAAGTAAGCCTCTGACCTGTCTTCGTACACACAATTTTGAAATCTGTTAGTAACTTGTTACCTTTCTTATCCGACTCATGAATTACATGACTAAGATGTTTAGCAGCATTTAAGCTAATATGCCACAAACAAAGACGGTGGCTTGTATTTGGGAATACATAAGCAAGCGCCCCTGCCATAGCCGCGTCTTGATCTGTAAAAATTGTGCTAGGGTGCTGTCCTGACATTGCCGTTAGAAAGGTTTCAAAAAGCCAAACAAATGATTCAATAGTTTCATTAAATAGAAGTGCACACCCAAAAATTATTGTTTGCTTGTGATGGTTGCAGCCAAGAATCGGAGCAAAAGGCATTTCAAACTTATTAGTTTTAAAGGTGGTGTCAAATATCACAGCATCACCAAAGCATTTGTAATCCATGATAGACTGACCATCTGCCCAAAAGAAATTTGCTATACGACCATCTTTCTTGTCTACCTGAAATGCATAAAAAATGTAGGATCCTCGAAATGTTTATTTCTCAGATATTCAGATAGTGTTTGTGCATCATTGGCTTCTAAGTACTGTCTGCGCTCGCGACCAATCTCATTATTGCAATCCATCTTAGCAAATGGTACATTCTCTTCCCCTCCATAAAACTCCTTCATGAACTCATAAACTTGTGCTGGCTTCATTCCAGCTTCCCGGATTTGCCCAATTAATTTCCTATCGGCCTCTATAACCTGTCGTTGGGACCTCACCTTGTGTGCCTTATTTGGACTAGCAAGATAATGATTGTGATGTTCTACGACCTTTTGCACCGTCCAAATCCCATCTTTGGAGATACTAAACTGAACACGAGCTTCACAACCCGACCTTGTAATGTCCTTTTCTGATGACTCATTTTTCGATGTCCTTCGCTACTGCAAACTATGTATTTCTGACTTATACTACCATCTTAGCGACGCTTCATCTTGCTCTTTCTAACACTAAACCCAACCTTGCCGGCATAGGTGTTGTACATGTCATAAGCCTTTTCCTCAGATTCAAATGTCATTCCAACTACAGGAGCGATGAAATTTTGCCCAGCTCTATGAACCACCTCCTATACATATAGATTTTCAATTAAAGGTGTACTAAAAATAAACAAAATATCATATATCCTGTACATATATATTATGTAACTTTATTAATTATTTTGTACCTCATGAGGTCCTTCAATCTCCACCGATCCAGATGTTTGTGAAATGGTGCCGATGGTCTCTACTCCCATGGCAATTGACATGGTGTTTCGTGAAATATGCACACTATATGTCGTAAATCAAACAACATAGAAGAAAAGGCACAAAGATCTAATCGGATAACTCGACTGTGATAGTCGTTGTTCTTCTTCAAGATGACCACCACCAATAGCATCAATTCCTAGTGCACGTGAATCCTCCATGACCAAGAAGATGGCATCAGGTCTTCTAGGGCTCCAACGCTTGCCATGGTGGTCTGTTGGTTCATCCATGGAATCTCCTTCAACGACGGTGGCGACGTGGAACCGCCCAGACCGGGTCTAGGGATCAAGGCACGATCAATTGGGGCGTCTTGACGGCGATGGCGTAAATGCAACCGCACGAGACGGTCTCAGGGTTACGTGCACATCAATCGCTGCGTTTTGTATTCCAAATTGAGCCGGATAAGGTAGACGAGCCGAGTTATGCTTTCGCTTTTTAGCCGCCGTCGGAGCGTTATTTCGCGATGCCGTACGATGCAAGGCCTGTGCACGTGGCGTGTATCTGGCTGGGGAGAGCACGAGCAGCTCGGTGTGCCCGGGGTGCACCCAATTTTTTTCCTTAGTTTATTACTCTAAAGTTTATTCTTTATCTGTTTGGACATATATATGTAGTATTAAATATAGACTAAAAAATAACTAATTGCACATATTACGACTAATTTGCGAGACGAATTTTTAAGCCTAATTAATTCATGATTTGACAATGTTGTGCTACAGTAAACATGTTCTAATGACGAATTAATTAGGCTTAATAAATTCATCTCGCGGATTACTAAAGACTTCTGTAATTTATTTTATTATTATTATTCGAACACTCACATGTAACCTCTCAATGTGACACTTCCCATGACCTCCTTAAATTGTACTCCTGTATTTAAACACCAGCCGAGCGCGACGGCGCGGCGGAAGGGGGGAAGCACCTCCCACGACTTGGGCGGGGCAGGGCGATTGATTGAGGAGTCCGACGCCCAAAAGGTTGTGTTTTGTCCGGTTGCCCGCAAGTGGGATTCGGGATCGCCGGATCACGGTCGGTGCGACGCATTCGCCGCACGCGCATCAGGTGCGGTAGCTTCCTGCTGCGATCCCGCTGCTGCTCTGCTGCCCGCCGCTTTTGTGCGATACCGGGGCTGGATTGGAATGGCGACAGGTCCTAGCGGGTGTTTAGTTCACCCCAAAATCCAAACTTTGACACTATGCAAAAAGAAGATTTTCCGTCACATCAAACTTGCGGTACATGCATGGAGTACTAAATGTTAACGAAATCACAAACTAATTGCACAGTTTGGTTGTACTTTGCGAGACGAACGTTTTGAGTCTAATTAGTCAACGATTGGACAATTATTACCAAATACAAACGAAACGCTACAGTACCGCTACAGTATTTTGGCGGCGCAGATTCAGCCAACTAAACGAGGCCCTAGTTTTGCGGCTCAGTGACGTCGCCATCGGCTGGACCTGAACAGGTCCCGAGACGTCCACTGGACTTTACCGATGCTTGCTGTCATCCAAGACTCCTCTTTCGGTGACTTGATCAACTAGCCAAGTAAGGAGTGAAGTGATTATTGTCAAGAATTCCTCCGTTAAAAGATTGATCGACTCAGGTACGCCCGTATATGTCTTAGAGGCTATTTTTCTCCATTTCAAATTACAAGTCGTTTTGATTTTTTTAAGTACATTTGTATAGTGGACTATGTGACTAGCTAGAATGCTGAATGAAGAGATGACTTCCCTCACATACTTATCTTTTGTGTGATCTTCTATATTGTTCTTAATGAGGATTACACAAGGGTTCTGATGAGTATTAGACAAGGGAGACAGGATTATCTACAACTTCTACATGTCTCTTTCTTGAGATAAGAAATGGTAAAATGGTGCACAGGTCAATTCTCAACCCGTTACATTTCCATACGGAATATGGATGCTAGCGTTCACATGACTCGGAAGTCTAAACTCACGCCTTTGGTCACACCTCATCTTTTAGCGACAAAGACTACCTTTTACATTGCCGTCACCGTAAACTAGCACATCAACACCCACATATCCCTATTATGACCCAAATCTTATATTACATAAGTATTACATAAATATGTATGGTCAATGCATACAACCAATCAAAATTGATTGATCAGCGTAGATACATGTCTAGCCTATATTATATATTGGAGTGGGGGTTTCTCAAAAAAAGTTATTGGAGGGGGCATAGGGCATCCATCAATTGATTAACGGCTTCTTCGTGTGCTCAGCTTTCTTGATTCTTCCACATATTATCCATTTCCCTCAATAATTACTTTCTAACATCTTCTTATCAGTAACACTTCATTCACACCAGCAAGGGTAACTACTCTTTATTAGTAAGTTAAAATTATGACGAGATCATAGTGGTTCACTTACATTTGTTTTAGGAATGAGGTGGGATGCGATGGTTCTGTCCTAATTTTCAAGGACAGGATGACCCTATCTCTATGCTTGATTGATGGAATAGGATCATCCTGGTTTTATATTTGATAGGATGGATATAGAGGGAAAAGATGAATTGAGTGTTTGGAACTTTGGATTCGTTAGTTGTCATCAACGTGGGTCTTGTATGTAAACCTATTCTAGGGCGTGTTTGGTTCCGAGCCGCACAGCGCCATGCTTGAACTGTGGCAGCCCACACATTTGTGACGGCAAAATCCAGCACCACAACTGTGGCAGAATCTACAGAGTGAAAAAGCTGTGGCCGCCAAAGGTGAAGTATAGACCAAACCGCAGCAGTAAAAGTTGTGGCAGACATTGGTGTGGCTGTGGCGCGCTGTGGCCGTGAACCAAACACTCACTTAAACTTATTTTTCCTTTGTTAGAACGTACACAACATCACAGCTTCTCCCCGTCGACTGGACACTTGATCAAGTGCACAGTTGGGTGCCATCTACTTGCCCGCTTACACTGCTCAGCTGCCCGCCTCAGGCCACCACAAGTGCGTGTGCCTGGAGCTCGCAGAGTCCTGCCACACGCTGCTCACGCCCTGCACCTGCCTAGCGCCCACGTGTCCGCCCATCGCCCTGACCTTAACCTAGACTCCACGTGACGTGGTTGTGGCCGCCCACGCCCTCGCTTGCCAGTGCACCCTTGACCCCAGCACCCGTCTCCACCTGGCACATCTGCAACCACCCCACTACTGTGACACAATGAAGAGAGAGGAATGGACGGACACTCACGCCATCTGAGAGGGACAAGTTCGTCCCGAATCTAGGGAGAATATGGGACAACTCCAACCTCGGTGTCTCTGAACAAAACACCAGGATGAAGTGGGATATCCACTTAGCTAACTATTAATTGTGTTAGCAAGAAAACACAAGTTAAAAAGTACTCCCTCCATTCCAAATTATAAGACGTTTTGACATTTTAGATACATAGATTTTGTTATGCTTCTAGATATACACTTATATCTAGATACACGATAAAATCAATACATATAAAAAAGCCAAAACGTCTTATGTCTAGATACACGATAATATCAATTTGGCTTATGTTGATGCTTATGCTGATTTGTTGTGAGAGAAAAATAATATTTCGTTCGTTTGAAAAAGTATTGCTGAAGTAGTTCAAGCGAACATGGCCCAATTGAGGAAGTAATATTTAGTTGTGTGGTAGTTAGGACAATAGCTGACCGATTAGTTAAGGATCTAAAGTAGCCTCAGTTAACTACCACTAGTAATAACTATTAGCTGCATGGATCCAAGCAAACCATTAATTTATACTCTATCAATCCCACAATAAGCAATTATAAAATTAAAATTTTATCCTGCAATAAATGTAATTTTACCTCTTGGCCAAATTGAAAACAGTAAGTTTAGCTATTTTTTAGTTTCCAAAGCACAATCATAACCATCTTTCGATGAGGGCACATGTGTCATTCCCATAACACAAATTTCTTTAAAAAGTAGAATTTTACACTTTTTTTTTCTTAATAAAATATGCGTGAAGTCATGTTTAAAAAAAATTATAATTATTTTTTGATCGGAGTGAACAGTGGTATCATGTCATGAAAAGAAAAAGGAAGTGCGGTTGCACGGAGATGCTGAATGCGATTATCACCAACTCACCATAATCACAATTCCCATTTGCAAGAAACACAGGGTGGTTTGTGTTTGGTTCAAAATAAATACTAAATATTTCCTAGAACAAGCCTGAAGTATTAAATACAAATAAAAAATAAAACTAATTAAAGTTTAGATGAAATTCACAATCTTTTAAGCTTCTAAGACTGCTCCAACAACGAAAGGTAATGTACAGTGTTTTTGCCAAAAGTTGTTTGTACCTTGGTTGTTTCTGACATTGTTGCAAAACTAAGACAGGCTAGACTTAGCCTACTCCAACTAAATCAATTCGCAGTTGTTTAGTTGTCTGCACTGTGTTAGTCTAGCTAGACACATGTTTATTTGTTTGGTTGGCTAGCCTGCTTGGTACGGAGCTCTTGTTTGAGCTGGTGAGTTCACCCCCTTTGAGGCATTCTGTCGAACAGCTGGTGGGCACGCCCCTCGCCGCCGCCGTCCTCCTCCTCGCCGAGCACGTCGAGCACCAGCGCGCATGCCCCATCCGCACCCTTGCGGTGCTCCTCTTCCGGCCCCTCACCATGGCTGCGGCCGCAGCACCTCCGCCCCATGGTCGCAGTGCTCCTCTCCATGGCCCTCGCAGTGCTCCTCCTCCCTCCCCTTACAATGGTCGCGGCTGCTGCTGCTGCTGCTGCTTGCCATGGCCGCTGCGCTCGGCTGTTGGTGCCGCTTGCCATGGCCGCTCCGCTAGGCTGCTGTTGTTGCTTGCCATGGAGCTGACCTCGCGTGGCGTGGATCTGGATCGGAGCACCGCTCCGTGCGAGCGGGGGCCGTCGGGGCCGGGGCTGCGAGGACGAGCAGATGCGGCCGCCGCCGAATCGCAGTGGAGGAAAATGAGCAGATGCGAACGCCGCCGAATCGCAGCCCCACGAGGTCACGGCGAAGGAGGACGACGAGCTCGCGGCGAAGGAGGATGACGAGCTCGCGGTCGCGCGATGTCGCGCGATTTCTCCGTCGGGGCTCGAGGTCGAAGGCCCCCCTGGCCGTGCGAGGTGGTCCTCCGCGTGCCCACCTCGCTCCTCCTCCACCACCGCGTCGAGCTCGTGACGGACGCGCCGCCCGGGGAGCACTCGGGGACGGGTGGAGGAAGAAGCCCTCTCAGCGATGGCCGCGCGCTCGGCCTCCTCAGAGGATGAGCACGTCGACGCCGGCGAGCGGTTGAAGGGGTCCGGAGCACGAGCAGGATCCGGCGGAGAGGAGGAGGAGTGCGGGTCGGGAGTGGAGGTGTACGGGGTGGTGAGCGGAGTCGGATGTCGCGGCAGACGGAGCCTGGCTAGGATAGAATGAGCAGATCGGTCGTTTACAGCAAGCCAACTTATCCGTACAAAATGGGCTTGTGGAAGTCTGGTCAGCAGGCCAAACACGGAATCAAACAAGTCAAATTGTATTATGCAAATTTGGTTAGGGGCTAAGCCAGAGGACCAAACACACCATAGATACTCTCCCCTCCCCGAGTGGAGATTGAAAGCTCATGTAATTTGATTTGAGGCCCGTCAATTTGACGTGCTGACCACTGAGGCACTGACCATGGATAACACCCTGAATCACACAAGACGAGTTCCTATGGTACCAATGCTGCAGGCTAGCTAACCAAAAATGACACTTCACAAGAATCAAAAGGCCGCGAAGGCACACGTCGTAGGTATGTTTGTGGAAACCAGAGAGAGACCGGCAACGGAAAGCAAAAAGCAGTATCATGGTCGCAAGTTGCAGGTCACTCTCGAAGCCACCCTGTTGCCTTAGCCAGATGCATTCCCCTTTTGCTTTCTTTCTCCGGCTGTGAGAACTGGGCTGTGCCTGTGCCTCCAATCCATTCCCGCGCTTTCTACTCTGCATCAGCCGCCACCTATAAATATGCGCCCGCAAATCCCACCATTCGGCATTCGCATCGCAAAAACCACCAAGACAAATTTCAAGCAGCAGCAACGCAGATCAGCACCTTGAAGCGAAGGAAAATAGAGGTAGCTAAGATGTGCCCAATCAAGAAGGAGATGAGCGCCGAGTCTGGCTCACCGTGCAGCTCGTTGTCGGCCTCCACCTCGCTGGAGCAGGAGCACCACCAGACAGTGTGGACGTCGCCGCCGAAGCGCCCCGCGGGGCGCACCAAGTTCCGGGAGACGCGGCACCCGGTGTTCCGTGGCGTCCGGCGCCGGGGCAACGCCGGGCGGTGGGTCTGCGAGGTGCGCGTGCCGGGGCGGCGCGGCGCGGCTGCAGGCTCTGGCTCGGCACCTTCGACACCGCGGACGCCGCGGCCCGCGCGCACGACGCCGCCATGCTCGCCATCGCCGGCGGCGCGGCGGCGCGTGCTGCCTCAACTTCGCGGACTCGGCGTGGCTGCTCGCCGTTCCAGCGGCCTCCTCGTACGCCAGCCTCGCCGACGTCCGCCGCGCCGTGGCAGAGGCCGTGGAGAGCTTCCAGCGCCGCGAAGCTGCGGCCGCGGAGGAGGAGGACGCGCGCTCGGCCGCGTCCTCGACGTCGTCCTCCCCGGCCAGCGACGACGGCGGCGGCGAGGAGTCCTCTTCGGCCGCCGAGGACTCCCCGCCGTTCGAACTGGACGTGTTCAATGACATGAACTGGGACTTGTACTATGCGAGTTTGGCGCAGGCGATGCTCGTGGAGCCACCGCCCACAGTCACCACCGCGTTCTGCGACGACGGCGTCGCCGAAGCGCCACTCTGGAGCTACTAGCTAGGACTAAAGGCCGCTGTACTTCAGTTTTACCATTTCTTTCTCTTCGCGTCCAATGCCAACAATTTGGTATTGTAAAGATTACTGCTACTAGTAATGAGACAGAGCAGATTGGGAAAAACAGAGCATGATCGTTGACTTTATAATGGTGGTAAAAAGTATTCGCATTTCGAGCTTGTTATAATAGTGGTTGACCCTGAACTTGTCTACGAGTGCGACTCACATAAAGTCTCAACTTTAAAATCGCCAATTTGGAGCTAATATAAGTTATAATAGTGGTTGACCTTGAAGTTGCCAATGTAACCGCTAACGGCATGGAGGACAATTCAACAATTCGTCCCTGGTTCAAGTGGACACCATTCCCATCTCACACGAGATAGTCAGCGCGCTCAGTGTCCTGTATTTGATGAGTAGTACTCCGTACTTGTAGAATTGCGAGGCTCTGTTTGGTCAAAGCCTCCAAAGCATCCGTGCGTTTTTCTAAGGCCACAACCCACAAGCGAGGGTCAAGTGAGAATCCGTCTACCTGTTCAACTTGTACAGGAGGCACCTTAGCTTTGCGTGCCCATGACTCTTTGACGCTTGACAGTCAATCTGAAAGTATGTCAGCAGTGATGCGGCGTAGAAACGGCAACGGCACGTTAACTGTTGATGGAGTATGCTTGAAGACTGTAGCACTCAACGCACGTGATATATAAGTAGTACTAGACATTTCAGTTGATGATGGTTCACCAATCTGGAGGTAAGCCCTTCAGTGCTCTACTGCCTTTTCTCGGGTGGGAAAAACAGAGAAAAACTTCCCCAGAGTTCTGATAGAAAGTGGGGGTGGGGGCTTTCAATCATACACTACTCGAGTACTCGCGTAGTACGTACTCCCTCAGTCTATGAAAAAATGCAATTTTGACGAGTCAAACGTTTTAAATTTTAATTAAATTTATATAGAAAAACTACTATCATTTGTGATATAAAATAAGTATTGTTAGATTAGTTATAGAATAGTACTCCTGTATTTGAAAGAATGTAAATCTCACTTTCAAGTAAGATTAGTGTATGTGTCAAATTACGCATTTACCCTACTCTATCATTCTACAAACTAAAAAACAATGATTACATTCTAGAATGTTCTTTTCATGGATGAATAGAATATGATAGTTTTAGACATGCAGTGGTATTTTTAATAGGTGGGTCCTATTGAAAAAAATCGATTTTAAGTCTACATTTATATTCTTTTTTAGACAAGATTTGAAATCCAGGATTATATTATTTTGGGATGGAGGGAGTATATTTTCATAATAAATTTTGTTTGGGGACATAAATATTAATATTATTTACTATAAACTCAATCAAAATTTAGTTACTTATTTAACTGGCACGGATCCTATAATTAGGTTCTTTCTTGGAAGGAGGGAGTACTACATCGGTTTCCTGCAATGGCTGCTTGTTCATTGTTTGTTTGTGCAGCTGGTGTCCAGTCCAGTGTGACAGTGACACCACTAAGTACTGTCGGTATGTTCGTTTCGTCGTAAACGATCGTGGATTATTTACTACTGGCTGATTTGGTTGGTTTGATGTGAGAAAAAAAATACTATTACAGCTTATAATTTACGATCGATCACGATCGGTGCTATAAGCCCGGTCGAACGGGAGCTCAGGAGGTGCCCATAATAATCCTGTAGCCAACAGTATTGGAGGTCCCATACGTTTAAAAAACATTTTGCATCTGTGTATCAAGTATCATAGTCTATGAAGTACGTAGGTGGTTAAGCTAAGTAGTAGCATAATCCAGCTTGGGCCGAAAGTGCATTTTTTTTAGTTCAAAGAACAGAATAAAGAAAAACAATTTTTATACAGATTACTGTACTAGTACTAGGATACATCCCCCGTGTACCTTCCACTAAAGCCCCTACTCCGTACCAGATTAGCACCGGCAGCATAAAAAAACAAGGTTCAGGTTACATGCAAAGCATTCTTCGTTGCCGTCAGCCAGGAGCGTCAGCCGCAGCAACTTGACCTGACCGGACTTGCACAACTTTGAACGGCTCCCATATTCTAATCACAAAAGTGACCCGTGACCGGACTCAAAAAGTCGCCGAAGGGACGAGATAATTACCACGCCGGCGCCCCCTTGACCGGCCCAAACGGCAACTGGACTCTCCGTGGTCTGCTCCCCACCCGAATTTTTTACATTTTAGCTATTTTCTTAAAAGTTTCTCACAGATAAACCCCGACGAAAAAAATTCAGAAAATGGATCCTTACCTCGGCGTCATCGATGCAGACGCCGAGCTCGGCGCCAGGGGGCTCGGTAGATGGCATGGTAGGGTCTGGCTCCGAGCTCGGCGTCGTAGATCTTGGCGCCGAGCTTTATTACCTATGGGCCCCGCGCCACTCTTCCTCTCTTCCACTCCCTCTCTCGCCCTAGTAGAGCAGAGCCGCCGCCGCCGCCGCCCGCCTCCATCCATCGCCTCGCCGCCGCCTGCGCCATGGCCGGCATGGCGCCTTGCGCGCGCGCACCGTGGCACGGCCGCTGCCCCGTGGCGCGTAGCGCCATCGGCGTGTAAGGCGCCAGCATGTAGGCGCCGCCGCCGCGCCGCCTGCACGCGTTACTCTCCGCCCGGTCCCCTCGCGGTTTCGCGCCGCGCCGCGCCCTCTCCTCGCCTTGGCCTCGCTCACCTTTGCCCGCCTCCACCGGCCGGGCTCGGGCGGCGGCGCCGCTCTCCCACGCCCGTCGAGCCGGACTCGTGCATTGAGCCCCAGCATCCCGCCCGCGCGCGCCACCATTGCTTGTCGGCCGCGCCACCTGCTTGCCACACGCAGCTGCCGTCGGCATACCACCACCGGCCGGATCGTTTACCGACCCGACGCCCTTATCGTCCGATGCGACTCCGTCGACGTTCGCGAATCAATCGTTGGAAAGGTAAAAATTATGAATATGCAATGTACCTACTTAGTTGGCATTTGTTATTTACTAGTTAATGTGATGACTCAGATAGTTGATTTAGTTAGTGATCTAGTGAGATATATATGTAGATAGATAGAAACATAGATGCATAGGTACATAGATATAGTTAGATAGCTACTTAGATATGTAGTTACATATAATATGATCTAGCTATTTAGTGAGTACACTGTATATATACGTAGTTATTATCTTATTTACTTAGTTTGTAGTTAGAAAGTACTTGTTAGGTACTATTTATCGTCTAATTTGGACTAAAGGACATGCGTTTCATTACGTGTTTGAACTAGATGGACAACCTAGTGACCATATATCATGGAGGCACCGTTGAAAGCGATCGCTATGGATATATTGAGTTTGTTGACATGCAAAGCGTGCCTATGCTATTCAATGATAGGCCTTCATTTAGTGAGATGGTTGTAAGGGCTCAGGAGGAGCTGCATTGCCTTGGAGATAATTGACATTGCGGTTGATGGTGTACTGCACCTAGGTTCTTCTCCCAACATCTTCAGGCGAATGATATCAATTGGTTGTGCGAGATCAGTGGAAGAACCATGTGAGATCATCTATGAAGAGCTAGCTGTAGTGTTTGGACGTGGTTGTGCGTTGGGTGTTAGTTGATCCCATCCCTCATGGGTTTACCCTAGCAATGGATCAGCAGGCACACATCGACCCTCCCGTTCTGGAACCTTATCTATATGTGGAGATTGCACCTATGGTTCCCGATGCTCAATCTGCCCTGAATGCGGTAGTTGGAGATGGTTGTCAGACTCATGTTTCCGTGGTAGATCCTCCTTATGAGATCCCTTTGACACAGAATCATCCGAGTAAGTGTCTTAACCGCATGGTTTTTGGGAGCTTACCCGTTCCTTACATATATTTCTTTCATTCTTTTCTCATTTCTCTACTTATGTTGCGGAGACATTCCTGAGAATGTGGATGTGCCCCCTGTTGCTGCGCAAGTGCACTTTGGAGATGGATTCCGTGGCTCCAATAGTGTTGAATTTATGAATGATTCAGAACCATATGAGATGGCTAGGGCTCTTGATTCTAATGATGATCGCCCTGTTGGAGAGCTGATGGAGAGTGATGTTGAGATGATGAGGCGTATCTTTCCCGGCCGCCGTGATCTTAGAGTTCACGAGTTCAGCGATCTTGCTCATTCCGATCAGGCGTTTGCAGAAGGACGTGATGATGAGCTCCTAGAAGCTCCGAGGCCGGTCCTAACATGGTAATTGAGAATGGGAGGGTGTTCAATGACCTCCCTGCTTTGAAGAGGTGGTTGTGGGCCTTTTGTAGTGATACGAAAGAGACCTTATAAGATATTGCATTCATATGCAGAGTGCCGTTACACAGTTGTGTGTGACAAGAAACGCTGCCCATGGAGGGTTTGTGCAAGGAAGCAATAGGTAACCGAAAAATGGAAGATCACAAAAGTTGTCGGGCCACACAATTGTGCTGACCATGAGCTGACACTGAGGCATCGGCAGTTGACATCTACCCTCATTGCCAAGCGGTTGATGGGAATTTTGCATGGAGAACCCAACATGAAGGTGAGGACAATTATCAATACCGTTGATGCATTGTATGGAGGTTATGTTATAACTTATGGTAAAGCATGGAGGGCTAAGCAGCGAGCGTGGAAGATGATATATGGGGACTGAGAGGATGGGTATGAGCAGCTGCAAGTTCTTTTTAATGCAATCAAAGCGGTGAATCCAGGCATGCATTACGAGTACATCCCAAAACCAAATGCATGGAAGGATGGGAGGCAGATATTCTTCCGTGCTTTCTAGTGTTTCCCTCAGTGTGTCGAGGCCTTTAGGTAGTGTCGTCCCGTCTTCTCTATTGATGGTACGTTCTTGATTGGCAAATATCAGGGCACAATTCTTATAGCCATATCCTGTGATGCAATCAACAAGTTGGTTCCTGCATGTCGCCTATAGTAAGCGGCCTCCGCTTCATCTGCGGCCGCTGTGGCCTGAGTGAAGAACGCGTCATCATCCTCTTCCGCCTGTAAGCCCGCCTCTGCTAGCTCAATGA